TCATTTACTCAATCAAACGCTCGAGATATATAGAAAAAATAAAGAAAATGAGAAGTTAGTCAATGTAAAACTCTAAGATGACTATATTAAATATACAAAAACCAAAAAAAGAAAATAATAATAAATCATGAATATAAAAATAGGATTTTTTTTTTTGGGGAAAAAAAAATTATTTAATTACATTTTCGGGTTCAATAATCTTAAAACATATTGACTTTGTCTATATTTAACAATGGTTCCTACTATTCCCTTGAGAGATTATAGAAAACAAGGCAAGAAAATAGAGTTAATAATCAATGAAATTTCTAGTTCAAAATTTCCAAAGAAAATATCTGTCTCGTGCTTTCTTTTTTTCTATTTTATGTTTTTTTAATGATTCAAGTATTAGTAAAATAGTCAAACAATGATTAAAACTCTTTTCTTTTTTTTATACTAAAAATAAACACGTGCTTTACCTATTTTGATAAGAATCTGTATATCTTCTATGAGTTATCGGCTACTAAAAAAACAATGACAATTAAAAATTTACAAGATTAGCAAAAGACAAAAAAAAAGCAAAACTTAAAAGTTGATCAAGGTTTAATAACAATTATTAATTTTGATACACAAAAAAAAAAAAAGGACTACACTTCATTATTGAAAAGATATACAATCAAATTAATTAGAATATTTTTTATCATTGTATGTATTTTCATAAGTTTTATTTTGAATTAGTTATATGATTATGAATAAATATTTTAATAATTTTATAATAATATGAAAATGAATAGAATTATTTTAATAAATACAAAAACATTCATTAAGATTATCCTAAGATATGAATAAACCACAATATTATTTTTTTTTTCTTTAATATTTATTAACAGAAAAAACAAAACATGGTTTTATATTACTGATCTAGTCAACAAACAAAGACAACCTGTTGTGATCAAAACGGAAACAGGAATTGCAATTGAAAATTCAGCTTTATCCTTATCGAAGCTCATTGTATTCTATTACAATCTATGATTTTTATCCATAATGTATAAAGACTTAGAAAAAGCTATTAAGATTTGTTACAAAAAAACAACAACAATATGTTCATTCATATGCAATGGAAAATATTCGAATAGTTGTTTACAAAATATGTATCAGCTATGTTTATCATTGTAGCTTTTTAATGAAAAATTTGTATCTTAAAATAGCTTTGAGATAACTATATTTAAAATCTCTTGTTGCAAAGTACAAATATTGATATTCAAACAAAAAAATTCACTCTGCTATAAAAGTCAAAAAAACAAACGAACGGAAAAAAGATTTATTTTAATACGCATATAAAATTATACAAGAGAAAATGATCTTTACGAACTATTAACAATGGAAGTCATTGTAGCTCGAACAATTTATATACTATCGAATAAATAGAAAAGAAAGGAACTGTTTTATTACTTTGTATCAATAAATAAATTTAGAGGTATCTCGATGTTGTCGGGATTGAAACATTCTTTTGGGTATCAATCAACAAAAAACACAATAAAACTCTGGAACTCCATTGGTGAAAAACGAAAATTTTTCAAAATTGGGGGAAGGGAGAGCATCCCTTGACCCCTCCTCGGCTCACGACAGCCCTCAATAAATTATAAAAACTATAAATTTTTTAATTTTATCTACCAAGACAAAATTTCTTTTTCTCAAAACTTCAAAATCAAGTAAATTTCTCAACATGCAATAACGTATAAGAATTAATTATTTAGCTTGCGTCTCGTGTATATATTCGTTTTCCAATAAATTCCATTATTTATTGTACTAACATTGATTTTTTTATACCATTAAACTATGCTCACTATTCGAGTATACTTTCGAAAGAATCAACAAATGTTGCTTTTTTTTCCTCATATAAAGACTTATATTTCCCGCTGTACCTATAGTTTAGATGGTATAGAAAGCCAGTTCACATTGAGGAGACTATCGTTTCGTGATTAACCACTTTTGACTTTGAAGTCTATGCATAAGATAAATCAAGATAAGGTATGAAAAACCCTATCAGGATATATATTATCCTTAGGTCTGCTTCTTTTCAGAGCTACAGCGACTTTACTGACACGTGAGCTTATGACATGATAGCTTGACATAAAACTATGCTCATTGATAGGCGTAGTTATGATTAGAATGCACGCAAAAGTGCAGCTTAAAAGGGCATTTTATTCATAAGATATTGAATTTCCAATAACCACTCATCTTCTGTAAAAGATATGATAATCTCAGATTCGTTTTTTGGAAATTCAATATCTTATGAACAAAACCATCTTTTCAACTGCAATTTTCAGGATATTCTAATAGTAACAAAATCTATTGACAAACAAAATTTTAGGTCAAACTACCTTGACATAAATTGAAGTTTCAGTAAAATTGCTATAACTTTGGAAAGAACAAGATTCAAGAACACTCATCCTGTTAAGACTTTTCATACCTTACTGAAGTCTGTCTTACGCATAAATTTCGAACTAACAGACGAAAAGCAAAGATCTCATAGTTCAAGAATATGTCAAAACTAAGACTGAGAACTTCTTAGCTGTTTCTAGTCTATTGTTAACATGTCTCATGAGCATATTGACAAATAGACTAGAAATACCTAAGAAGTTCTCGAGAATAGTTTTGACTTAATCTTGTAGTTTCTGAAAGGAAGAACTTTCATATGTATTTTATTTTCTAAATTACAAAATGATAGACACATATTAAAACAATATTTCTTTTGATATAACGATCAGATTGTATTCATTTAAAACATTTCAAACCATTAATTAATTCATATGAAATTAGTTTTCTAAAAACAAAGATTTACTCTTGTACTTTCAAGTTCAACTAATAGAAAACACAATACAAGACTCATAATAATCATATCAATATTATATTTTACACTTCAATCTTAATTGTCAACACATTGAATAAATAACTTAGGTCTTGTTAAAAATATTTACATACATCTTACACTTTTTTTTTTTTTCGTAAACATCCGATTCCAATTGGTAGATTAAAGAATCAACATTCATGAACTCAATAATGTATGTTTTCATAAAATCAAACAATCGAACGGTCTGATTATAGCAATTCTTTATTTTTTCTTTTTCTTACTGTGAAGTTAACAAGAGATTTTAAATGAAACAAAAACACAATCAAAACTTGGCTTATATATAAAACGACAAGCAACATTCACAGTTTATTTTAAATCAAGGGCACTTGGTCATATAGAGATTTTCAAAAAGCATTTTTTTTTTGTATCTAGACACTATGTTCTCGATTATCATATTACAAACTATGAGTATTGGTAAATATACCTTCATTTTTAGATTGTTTGAACCATAAATGATGATGATGATGATGATACTCGACAAGAAATAAAATGATTAATATTCAAGAACAAAGATATGTGTTCAATGGAACAATATCTAAACTTTTTCTTTTTTTTTTTTTTTTACTAAAAAATAAAATATGATTAATTTCTTTGAAGACTTTTCTTTTCAAAAGTCTTATGAATAAATATTAATTTTTTTATTGATCAATAGATTTAGAAATATTTGTTTAATGAATTTTATAGATTTATAATCGAATTGAATATTAAAAAAATAGAAAAAAAAAATTCACTGCCAATTTCAAAATGAAAATGGCTAATTACAATCAGTCACTTCCTCCGAGTCTTTTTTCTTATCGAGCACACGTTTTCTTTTTTCAATACGTCATTTAATTAATACTACGACATACTAAGAAAAAGAAAAAATCTTTGACAGAAATTACTAGTTACCATGTATGAACACGTAATTGATTAAATATTATTACGAAGACCAAACATTCATCCAATCACGATAGACTCGCCTTTTCTTTATCGATTCTCTTCCTTTTTTTTTTTAGCTTAAACGACTCTTATCTAACGAACAAATTCAAGTATGCTTTCGACGACAGGATCTAGTTCTTAGCGATGAAATAGTCTCGATTAGTTTATATTATATGATAATCGAAAGATAGGATATAGATTTGTTCGTTTATTTATCATTCATCCATCCATAAGAACACATTCTAAAAGATTTTCAATCATCTAAATTGTAAGTATTGAGTGATTGTTAAATGTTTGATATGAATGAAATAAAAAAGAAAAATCGGATATCCAAGAATACTTTTTAAGACACTTGTCAATATTCTATAAAGCATAAGAAAATAGCAAAAAAAAAAATAAGACGAAATATATTTTTTCTTCTTTTTTTTTTTTTTCAATTATCTCTTTTCTATTCTTCAACTGCCAAATAATATCATCGATCTATGACAAACAGAAAATAATATATATTGACAAAAGTAAAATATAGATTATTACTATTTTATATAAAATAAAATGAAATTTTTCGCTGTCTTACTATATAAAATAAAATCGTATATTCTGATTGATTAAAATTAAATCAGATAGATATCGTATTACAGTTGTAATTCTTCAAAAATTGAATTAGCTCACGTAATCACACATTGTCTGTAAATAGTGTCAAAAAAATGATTCTTTCGTGATACTATATATTGAGGGTACGCACGCAAACTTGTGTTCTTGCCTATCATAGTGATTGCTGAAATTTGTATTAGAAGAGAGCGAGAGAGAGAGAGGGCAAAGAAAAATTGGAAATCAATCCAGAAGTAGTAGTAATAGAATCCCTGGAGATTTGTTGTCAAAAGCAAATTGGCATATCCAAAAAGCTTTATGTTGTTTGTATCAGATCTACCAGATTTATTTCTTTTACATTGATGAAAAGAAACAGTTCTAACTGCGTATGTATATTTTTTAATAAATGATAAAACCGGATATTCGACAAAATGATTTGTGTGAGGATATATAGATAGAAAGAAGGTTATTGTACAATAAGTGATTTCCGTTTTTCTCTCGTTTTTGTCATTGAATTAGTGATTTTGTTATTTCTAAAATGTACCCATAAGCCAAACTAACGAGAAACAAAAGAAGGAGAATCAATATTTATACGTTTGTTTAGATGGAATCCTTTTTTCAACGTATGTCATCATTGGTTATAAGAAATAGTAATAAATATGTTGAACAAGATATTGATGAAATTGATAATGAAGAACAAAGACAATTTACTTATTTACAACAACGTCGATGTTCAGCGCCTGATATGCGTCGACGTGGTACTACAACGGATCGATCAGCCCAGACACTTGATCAGAAGGGTACTTCAGAAGAACAAATTACAACTCATTTCAATGCTCATATGCTCTCTCGAAGACATTACAATTCTATTGGTAAGTTATTTATGAGTGATTTTTTTTTTCTAATATTACGTTTTTAAACTTATTTACAAGAGAGAAAAAAATTTTCAACAGAAATAAATTTTATAAATGAAGATTATAGATATAATACAAACGAAGCATAACTGAATATTCAACATATTTACTAAACGAAATAAATATAATAGATAAAATTTTGATTGTAGAATACAGATATGTTAATCTATTGAATGTCTTAAATTGTTTGAACTCAAACAATTTTAATTAAAAAAAAAAAATGCTTGTTTACCACATAAGAATCTCTATTCTTTTTTTTTTTTGGTTTCTACTTCTCTTCTAATTTTAAATTATATAAGATCAATGAATATGAATCCTTTATCAAATATTTGAAGGTGGAAACCTGTAAACATGAATCCTTGTATATGTTATTTTCTGTCTGTAAAAATAAAAAAAGAAAGAAGAAAAGAAAAAAAGAACTTGATTCAATTTAGTTATTTTTCACATGTTACAGGTCAATTTGGAAACGATAAGAATTACATGAATAAAATAATAATTTTTTGCTTTTTTTTTTTTATATAAATTGACACATAAATTTTATTCAGAATTTGAAAAGATGACTATATTTTTTTTGCCGTGTAATTTTTTGAAAGCTTTTGTCATTGTCATTCTACATTTTTTCATAAATAAATAATAATAACGATAGTATTCAACTCGTTTTCTTCCTAAATACGAATATAATACTTAGCTCTTTTTTTTTTCTTCAGTAAACATATAGTTAGCTTTGTTCGTTATCACATAATCGCATTCAGTTATACATAGAAACAAATTTACGATTTAATTAGATTATTTCCTTGTATTATTTACACGACTCCCATTGTTAGATTAAATCGTCGAAAAAAAAAAGAAAACAGAAATGCAGATGCAATTTCTCGTTTGGTTTCTTCACGACAAAATTGTCACGTAAATTAGTTATTCATTCTTTTTCTCTTTATAATAGTTTTGTTTTGTTTTGTTATTGTCTCAAGTCTCAAATATAAATATCTCTATAGTATGTATTTTATCTATTTCCGTATTGTCTTCGTATGTGACTCGATCTGTATGAATATTCATTCAAATGTATGCGTACAGATCGTTCATTTTTTTTTTCTTTTTACTATTGTTGTCTCCATTCGGAAGTCGAGCACTTAATAACATGTTTTCGTTCTTATCAAAACTGAAGAATTGAATTAGTTTGTTGGAAGTGACATAAGTAACCACTTGTCAGTATCACTATAATCTTCAATTACATGAGATTCTTGATGATGATTGTTATGTAATATAATTTCAAAAAAAAAAAAGAAAAAAAGAGAGGTGTCGTCTAATATTAAGAAAAAGAAAATAGAGGCGAAGAAAAAAAAAGAAAAGAAATATAGAGAACATGTAAACGACGATGAAGCTACACACATAATTTAGTCTTCTTCTCCTTCGAACGTAGTCCGTTCTCATCATGACTATTCAGTTTGTTTCTTCTATGATTATTTCTTGTTATTCCTCCAACGGGAATAGGAGTAAAGGGAAAAAAATACGGATGAAAAAGGAGTATGATGAAATAGAATAAAGAGAAAGATCGTAGTCTAGGAAAAAAAGGTCGAGAACAATCATCGTTTTCGTTCTCTTACTTTTTTTTTTTTATTAACTTAAGTCTTATACCTGTGTGACTAGAGATAAAAAGCTAACATAGAAATCTTATTAATTATTATATCGTTTTCTATTCAATTCTCAAATGATTATTTTAATTAATGAAGATAATTTTGAAGACAACAAAAGAAATAGCTTATATATATATATATTTATTATTATATTGTTTGACAAATAAATATGGCTAAACTGGGTTCTTTTATTCGACGTTTATTTTCTTCATTCACTTCTGATAATGATTGTCCATCATCACCGATTCTTGATACTCGAAAAAATATTGTAGTCATTTCATCATTATCACAATCATCAGTACCTACAGCAACAACAATAATAAAACCATCTCAATTAACTTCACATACAAGTCGATCATGTTCAACATCACCTCGTTCTATAATAAAACAAACCACAATGCAAATTGATAGTAATAAGAATGGGAATTCAAACTCAAATTTTCTTTCATCAAATACCAATAAATGTATTAATCGTCGTCTTAGTGCTCCTCTTATTATTCATGCATCAACTCATCATCATCATCATCATAATCTATATCGATCGGCTATAGTTGATGAAACTATCGAACAAGCATTAATTTCTCCATTACAACGTCTCTCATTGTCATCGACAGCAGGAACTTCTATCTATAATAATAATAATAGTGTAAACAGTTTAGGTGCTAGTGGTGGTTCTATAAGTGGATCACCACTTAATGATGTTCATTCATCACCACTCAATTTATCATTATCGACTTCGAGTTTTTTGCCTAGTTCATTAAATCATATTTCATCAACATCCGGTAGGTGTAAGAAGATTCTTTTTTTTTTCTTTCTTCTTGTGTTTTTTTTTAACATTTCACTCTTTATTATATATTTGACCTTGATCTTACTATCAATCGAAACAAAACAAAACAAAAAAAAAATGATCTGTATTATAAACGAAGCAATCGTTGTTGATCAAGTCGAATCGAAATTGATCGTCTATTTTTTCCGTTTCTTTCCAGCATGTCATATAATAAATCAAAGGATCAAATTTAGAAGGAGGGAGAATGAGAAGAAGAGAAAAAAGACTAGGAAAATTCCTATTATCATTAACGTTGATTTCATTCTTTAGTAAGAGAAGTTCCTTTCATTATATTGATTATACATAAAAGAACTTCAAAGAACAGCAAAGATTTTACATCAAAACAGATCATATTAAAAATAAGAGAAGCGGAAATTACAATTGTATGAATCAAATATTGAAAATATATCAAAAGAAAGCGAAAATGAAGAAGAACTACCTTGTAATTATCTCCACCGGAAGAAATGAACATTTTTTTTTACACATACGCATATATATATATATTGAGAAAAACAACCTTGATTTAAAGTTTTGTATGCATTTGATTTTGTGGCGTTGATTTGATATATATATATTGATTAGTTGAGTATACATTTGGGAAAGTATTAAACGAATTCCAAATACGGATTTTTTGTCTTATTGTTATTCTATTTCAAATACAATTTAAAAAAGAAAAAAATTATAATTATTCTTATGTCTCAGATTATTTCACAACAATATTCAATGACTTGTAAGTTTTGATTCAATGTCAACTTGTCAATAAAATATTCTACTATTTATTATTATAAATGGATAGAATCAAGACAAAATAAAAACAAAAAAAAAAACTTAATAAAGCAACTATACTTGATTATTCATCAATGAATGTCGTATATATAGTTATCATTATTTGTGTGAGAGTAAAAATCGAGAGCAAAATATATTGATAAGAATCTGCACTACATTTCAATGCTTTATTTTTTTTTCCATGTATATGAGCATATGTGTCTTCATTTCATTACATATAACAATCCGAGAATGAGAAAGTCCTATCAAACTCTTTTTCCCTTTTTTTTGACATTCATAATAAAATTTGTGCTGCATGCAGAACTAAATTAGACAAAAAAAAAAAAAAAGGCTTTTTCTCTTTTTCTTAATATATATCTATCTTATTTTATTGATAGGCACACCACCAACACAATTTACCGTTGGTCCATCATCATCATCACCACGTGTTAGTCTTCAATCAAATAATTCAGCATCACCTAATAGTGGTATAAAAAATATATTAGAATAATTAATATTAAATTTTTAAAGAATTTATAATTTAGATAGAAATATGTCTTCACAAACACGAGGACGACGTCCATCGATGTTTGATCCAATCGATCCAAAAGAATTACAACAAGCATTATATGCTTCAGCAGCTGCTGTAAGTTAACTTCACATCATAAATATCTGGACAAGACATAAGACATTAGTTTTCAGAATGGTCTTCTTTTTTGGATGAAAAAAAAATTTGTCTATAGATTTTGATATTAATTTTATATAATTTATTCTAAACTTTCGTATTATTCTAGTCGAACGAAAAATTCTAAACGATTATAAGATTTTTCAAAAAAGTAGAAAAAACTTATTTTAATAACTATAAAAAAAAAAAAAGAATATTAATGATTATTGTTATTCATAAATCAATATTGATCAATTTCGACACATCAGGAAATTATTATGAGACTTTTAATAATTTAGAATTCACTCGTTTCTTTAGATAATTATTCTATAAATAAGAATTCATTAGATTTTATTTTATTTTTTGTGTAATTAATAGAAAGCAAATCTTCCATCAAATCCATCAAATGAAGATGAATTAACACGACCACTATCTCATATAACTATTAGTTATGATCATGATATTGGACATGTTATTATTGATTCATTATCATTTGAAAATTTACATATTCTTGATAGTTATATTAATAATAATAATAATAGTGATTTTGTATCATTTTATTGTCGTTTTCGTTTATTACCAGAAAAACGTAGTTTATTTCAAACTAAAATTATTCGTTTAACACGTCTTCAATCATCATATTTATTTGATAAAAAACAATTAAATGAATTTGAATTAACACATGATCAATTAAATAATCATTCAATTGAAATATTTTTATATAAAATAAGTATAATTAAACCTTTATATAAAGATATTCGTATAGCAACAGTTAAATATGATTTAAATGAATTATCTGAAACAGATCAAAATCGTATAAAAAAATCATTAGATGAATGTGATCCATCATCAATAATACAGGTTTAATATTTTTCTTCAATTCAATAGAATTTTTTTTTTTTTTGTGTATGTGTTCATTTTATTTTCTAGGATCCTGATTTAGGTGAATTACTTCTATCTTTATCTTATTTACAAAGTGCTGGTAAATTATCTGTTGTTATTATTGAAGCAAAAAATTTGCGACCATTATCAATTGAAACAAAATCATATCCAGATGCTTGTGTTAAAGTAACATTATATGATCGTAATGGAAAAAAATTGAAACGTAAAAAAACAAGTGTACAACGTACATCAGATTGTCCAACATTTAATGAAGAATTTGTTTTTGAATTACGTCGTGATATTGCATCTGAAGTTATGATT